AGGTTTCCCTCATGTCCCCGTAAGCTAGAGCTGACAGATGGGAACTCACCCAATTTCACAGATTCAAACTGGCAACCTTTAGGTCAGCAACCCAACCTTCAGGTCAGCAGTCTAGCCGGAACAAGGGTTTAACCTATTGTGCCACTGAGGCTCCACTTGTTCCTTAGATGAAGTTACATTTTTGATACAAAAAACCCAAAATGCCCCATTAAGAGATGCTTGAAAAGTAGCACATTACAGACAAGGAAAGATGCGCTTAAAAGGATACAAAATTAATATCTGAGGAGCTTTAAATCAAGATCTATTCAGGATTCATAGAAAGAAGATGGTGAATGGCAGGAAAGCTGCAGTTTTTCCCTTTTGTGGGTCACCTTTCTTGCAGGCTTCTCCCATGCCTTATTCTTCAGCTAAGCTCTAACATTACAGATGAATCCAAATAAGAGAAAAACCAGTTCTCCATATACATAGATTATGTATCAACCTATTCAACCAACCACTGCTTGGAAATATTCCTTTAAAAACCAAACATTTTGCCATCTCATATAAGGGACACCATTTTATGATGCCATTGTACGTAATGGAACTTGAACATCTATAAATTTTGGTATGCACAGAGAGTTCTAAAACCAAGAGAAGGCAGGATCCTAAATACAGGTTGAGCATCCCTTATCTAGAAATCCAAAATTCAAAACGGTTTGCATGGGTGGCCGACTTTGCTTTCTGGTGGTTCAATATTCACAAACTTTATGCACAAAAGTATTAAAATATATAAAATTTCCTTTAGGCTATGTCTAAAAGTAAATATGAAGCATGCATGCATTTCACATTTAGACTTTAATCTCATCTCCAAGAAATCTCTTTATATACATATAGGGCTACATAAGTACCCCCTCACACACACACACATACACACACACACAAACCTCTGAAATTTTAGCATTTCAGATAGGTGATACCTGTGTTATCAGTGTACCTTTTATCGTTTACATAATTTGGGCAGCCCTAGGTTTACATATTTCGGTTTGGTGGACTTCATTGCAACTGAATACAGTATGTGGTTCAAGCAAAGCTGCATGGTGAAAAAGGAAATCTAGCATTATAAATGTGAATCTGCAGTATTCAAGGGCTGATTAATCTGCTTATACTCAAGACAGTAGTACCTCTTGGATGCAAAAATCAGCTAATTTTGCTTGCAATAAAGGACTACACTTGGTAAGGTAAGCCAGATAAAGGAATGAGCTGTGAAGCAGTCTCTCAGGATTACATAGCAGTGTAGCCAAATAAAATAGCAGTATGGTTTTTAAAAATGCACTGTCCACTCAGAAAAAGTGATGCTTCAAAATTAAATCACAGACCAAGCTCTGATGCTCTGGCAGCTGGAGAGGCAGTGCTCCAAAACCTAGATGATACTGTGGGAACACAGCCAGAAAAATAGAAAAGTGGCACTTAAATTACTCAAGTGAATGGTGGGAAGCAGTAAAGCATATGAAAGGGCAGAGAGATGAGGGAGATACAAACTGGCAGAGGTTGAGAGCAACTGAGATGCAAAAAATACAGAGAAGCTGGCATGAAGCAGAGTGCTGGGCAGAAGCCGAAAGGATTAAAGATGTCACTAGTACTAGGAGTGGTTCGGTCAGATGTAAGATGTCAAGAGCTGAAGAGTTTCTAAACAAGTAAGAAGTTACTGTGGTTATTCAATGGGAAACACTCTTTTCTACTTGATTTCATGAGGATATCTTTTCATTTGCAACATCCCCGATAATTCCTCAGGTTTTGTTGTTTATTTTTATTATAACAGGTGTTACATTTATGTCTGGGGTAAACTTTGCTTATAATTTTTCTATTTGTATGGGCATATTTTCCTTTTGTAACATCCGACAAGGCAAGTGATTTCCTAACTGCAATACCTCTTGACTTATGGCAATGCCATGAATTTTCCATAGGTTTTTTAAGGCAAGGAATACTCAATACTCAAACAGTTGGCCAATTCCTTCCTCTTAAATACAACCTCCAGCACCTGGTGGTCTACCATAAAAGTACTAAGTAGGGCTGACCTTCCTTAGCACAATCTTTAGTGTATTTATACCCAGTAGCATTGAAACACCAGTATATTTCACACCTCACACTGTTGTATGACACTCTAGTTATTAGTTTATTGCTTCATTTAGCAGTATAGACAATTGTAGTTAAGAATTATTGAGATAGGCACTTATTAATCTGAAGAGACTGATTCACAGGACACCAACTACATAGGAAATTTACAAATCTATTCCTTTTCCGAAGTTTCAGTCCAAAAATGTTATATGAAAAATTCAGCAGTCAAGAACCACATTCAAAATCAAGTCACTGGAAGAAATAAGGATAGATCTTAGGTGTTTTTATTGGGCATGCAAAGGTAAAGATGGGATGTTCTTTTGGACTATCTTTCTAAATATGGGGTAAAGTGTATTTGGATTATTATAATCTAGTACAGGTTAGAAAGGACTGTTCAACCTATATTATTTCCAAGCAGGTAGATATATTCTTATGGATGACAGAATGATTTTATAAATGATTGTATAAAGTCTACTGTCAAAGACATGGTATTCCCTGTAGTAACCTACGGATGTGAGAGCTGGACCTTAGGAAAGGCTGAGCGAAGGAAGCTAGATGCTTTTGAACTGTGGTGTTGGAGGAAAGTTCTGAGAGTGCCTTGGACTGTGAGAAGATCCAACCAGTCCATCCTCCAGGAAATAAAGCCCGACTGCTCATTGGAGGAAAGGATACTAGAGACAAAGTTGAAGTACTTTGGCCACATCATGAGGAGACAGCAAAGCCTAGAGAAGACAATTATGCTGGGGAAAGTTGAAGGTAAAAGGAAGAGGTGCCGACCAAGGGCAAGATGGATGGATGGCATCCTTGAAGTGACTGGACTGACCTTGAAGGAGCTGGGGGTGGTGACGGCCGACAGGGAGCTCTGGCGTGGGCTGGTCCATGAGGTTACGAAGAGTCAGAGACGACTGAACGAATGAACAACAACAACTGTTAAGCAAAATCATACATTTGACTAAGTACGGTTATTCCAGATGAGACAATTTAGAAAGGCAAAACCAGTGTAACAATGACAACATACATAAGTAAAGTTATATATGGTTGATTTTAGGTTAAATAAGATTTTATGTAATTTTGGGATATTGCCTCTCCAATATATCTATTAAAAGATTCTTCTTTGTCTCTTTTTTTCAAACCAACAGTAAATCACAAATACAATAGGAGGCTCATTCCTAAATCAGACCCCAGTGAGAGCTGTATGGAGTCCATGCCCAAGTCTGTTAGTGAAGGCTGGTTAAGCCACCAATGACCTGTAAAAGTAAGTTTTTAATGTTCTGTAATGTAAATTTTTAAGACAGAGTAGCTGGAGGAGACAAGGAAGCAACCAAGGTAAGTTTATGTGGATAAATTTAGTTCTGCCACAACTGGCCCTTATAGCATTATAACTTGGTATGACATGCAAAAGAAATTAGAAAGGAACAACATTGTCCTCATATAAGCTTGTCAAAATTCACCTGAATTATTCCTGGCGATAGTATAAAGTTGCTGATTGGGTCTAAAATGTATATCTTGCTTTCGTATTCTTTCACTCTTTTAACCTATTGTCCTACTACCAAGAATAGAGACAAGCAGGAGTAAAGACTATTTTGTCTTTCTAAAATTGTGTGTGTAGACCTTGAAACCTTTCACTTGTTCTGGCCTGATGCCTAAAGCAACATACAACCAACATATTAGCAACACTGAGAAGCACAAATATTTGAAAGCAGGAAAATTATTGTTTCAATTTTCTACAAATGCTTACAATTTTCCTTTTGGGAAGTACCATATATACTCAAGTATAAGCCAACCAAAATATAAGCCGAGGCACCTAATTTTACCACAAAAAACTGGGGAAACATATTAACTTCAGTATAAGTCGAGGGCGGGAAATGCAGCAGCTACTGGTAAATTTCAAAATAAAAATAGATACCAATAAAATGACATCAATTGAGGCATCAGTAGGTTAAATGTTTTGAGTATTTACATAAAACTAATTTAAGATAAAAAACTGTCCAACTTTGATTAAACCATTATTCTAACCTTTTTCAATGTAAATATGCTTAAGTATCCTTCCAATAATAATAGAGTAAAATAATAAATATAATAAAATAATAGAATAAAATAATGGAAATGTAATAATAACAGTAATAAAGCCCAGCTTACCTATCTGAACATACCTCTCTTTATAAACCATCTAGGACCATCTTCTAGGGAGGCCCTGCCCTCGGTCGCGCCTCCCTTGGAGATAAGGTTGGCAGGGACAAGAGACAGGGCCTTCTCAGTGGTGGCCCCTTGGCTGTGGAACGCCCTGCCCATGGATATAAGATTGGCCCCCTCCCTCTTGAAATTCCACAGAAAGGTTAAAACCTGGCTCTTCGAGCAAGCTTTTGCTAATACAGCATAATTAGATAAATGTGAAATTTGGAACAATTTGATGATGCTATTGGATCACGATTTTAGTAAGGAGATGCCTATGACTATGTTTTTTATAATTTTGTAAGGTTTTTATTCTTTATGCTAAATGTTTAATTGAATTTTATATTTGTTTTAACTGTACTTTTATAATGTTGAGGCATCAAATTGTTGCTGGCTGTGAACCGCCTTGAGTCACCTACAGGCTGAGAAAGGCAGTATATAAATGTGGTAAATAAATAAATAAATAAATAAAGTAAAATAATAAATGTAATAAAAATAATACTAATAACAGAATAAAATAATAAATAACCTTGACTCAAGTATAAGCCAAGGGGCTGAAAAACTAGGCTTATACTCGAGTATATATAGTAACCTCTGTTCTGTTGTAATAATTTCTATTGCTTCTGAAGTACAACTTAGGAGTTTTCAATTACTTTTTAGCTGATTGTGCAATTACCAGCAGAAATAGGATTTGGTTTTTCCATGTCCAGTTTACTTATAACGTTTTAACTTACCTTCTGGTAGAGAACCTGCTTTATGGGAATACGCAGCACTTTTCTTGCTGCTTCCACTGTTAACAGACAAGCTGGACTGGATTTTTCTGTGCATTTTTTGGGAAACCGGAGCTGAGAACCTTCTGCTGCCATCTGGTATGCCAGGTTTGACTCCATTGTGAAATCCACTCCCATGATTCGGACACACATGGCCATTCTGCACTTTGCCAGTTTCTTCCTTACACTTTTCAAGTGGTACAGTATTTGGTAGAGGCAAACGTTGAGGTTGTGCTATTCAGGAAAAGAAGAGTCAAAATTGATTAACAAATATGCAGGGCAAGAACTCTTTTTACTTTACTCAGTAACTACAGGTGTGTGCGTACGTACATACACCTTCAACTGGTATGTTGACTTATAGTAACCCCATGAATTTCACAAGGATTTCTTAGGCAATGGTTACTCAGAGGTGGTTTTGCCAGTTAAGACTGAAAGGTTCAGGTAGTGTTTGGAGGCACAGAGACTAAGGAGCCATATGGGAAAAGGCCTTGGAGAGTCTTTAATTGGATATCCTAACATTTTTGTTAAAATAGAAAAGAAACTTGGCTGCAGTACTGGGGCAGGTTAATTTACGGACCTGAGCTGTCCCTTATGTAAACCCACAGCTTTTCTAATGCTATCTGCTCTACTAGGAAATATATTGAACACAATGGAGTTAATCTCTATCTTTTAGAACTGTGGATTGATAGGGTAGTAAAAATAATACTACATAACAAGATGGGTTACAAATGTCAATATATAATTGGTTCTATCATAAAAACATGGAAAAATATGCCAACATTATCATTTTGCAGGACATCCTGCAGCACATTTTGCTATAGTTTTTCAATAAATTTCTCATCAACTCTCAACCAATTCAACATAGTTTGGGGCAGCCACAAAAATGAAGTTTCTCGATTATAACAACTATTTTCAAAGTAAGGACCACACAATTAAACAGGAAATAATACTTTTAATGCAGGAACAGAAAATTTACCTAGTGTAATGCAAGCTTTCTCATGGTTTTATTGGCAAAACCCTTGACAAAACTTTTGGTCAGCTCCATTTTTTAGAACCAAGGATACCCAAAGCTCCAATCATTCACAGGTGGCTAAATTCATTTTACATGCCACAAGTACTCTGGCAATACAATAGCAAGATACACACACACACACACACATATATACACACACACACACTTTTTGTGGAGTCCTAAAATAGAATAGCATTTGTATAATTCCTTTTGCATTTATTGGCAAAAACAATTCAATCACTGGCAGAAAACAAAACCTAAACAAAACTATTAACTATTGTTCAATTTTCAGCCTATGTGGTTATTAATAAGGAGCTAAACATTTCAAGAATGTGGATGCATCTTGTCACATCATAGCCTAGCAAGCAGACAAAGTTCTAGAATTTTTTATTATAAAATGCAATGCCATTGTCCATTGTCAATAAATAAACAAAATGAACACATTAAGAATTCCGTAAATCTAAATTACAATGTTATTAGAACTGACAGTTAAGACTTTACGGATCTAGCCAAATTGGAAGTGGTTGTTTGCAACTGTTTGTAATTTCTATGTTACAGAAAAACACATGAAACATAATCTTATGTTCTGGTTTAAACATGTGATTTATTTTGTCCATTAATGAGCCATGAGAAAAACATTCAGCTATGTAATATTATTTTAGTTTAATTCTGTTATTTTCACTAGTATCAAGAGATCAAATTCTGTTCCCAAAGTACTATTATTTCAGTCTTTTTCATATTAATACACAACTTTTTAGTTGACTGGCTTTCGAGTATTATACATAAGATATCTAGGTCAAATCAAAAGTGAATGAAAACCCCAAACGTATTAGTTATACCAATTTAAATTTATTTTAACTTTATTGATAATTTTTCACTAGGGAGACTTGAATCTTATGGTTAAAATACACTTGAAACCAATTAGGAACCATATGACTGCATTCTCGTATAAAGAATAAGACGCATTTGACAGTTTTTAAGATTAAGCCACAACCATCCAGTTTAAAACCAAAATGTTTTACCTTATTTTTAAAGGTTGTGTATATCTTTTTTTAAAAAAAGAAGGCAAGAAAGAGAAGCATAACACAGGAAACGACACAATGCTTTCTTAAAACACAGTGGATACCCAGGGACTATCACTCTCCCTTTAATGATCCGCTGCTCTCATTCAGCTGTCTTTCTTTCTTCCCCCCAAATCTTTACATATGTGACAGCTCTCAAAAGTAGACCATAGACCATCTGGCATTTTCAGAGGTGTAACATGTGCAAATTCAGCTCTACTGGGAACACAATGCTATCTTCCGCCTGCGCTATAAAAGATACAATAGAATGTAGAACTTATGAGTTGTTTTGAATTATTCATTTTTTGCCTGTATATTCAAGAAATTTTACAAACTCTGCATTTTGTACTACATAATCACATGCGTTAAAGGTACAAAGAAACTTTTTGACACCTCTTTTCTACAGAATGATGGCATTTTGTTTGATATGTGAACATTCAGTGTCTGTTATATCATTCTAAACAGACCATGTGCTGCTACAAAAGACCAATTTTTGCACTATGTAGGAGCAAAATTTTATTCTTCTCATTCAGTAATACACATCAATATTTCCAGCACAAGATTTATGAACATTCAGCATCTTAAATACAGAATAGCAGTGGTCACCAACAATACATTTTACACACACACATACACCACTACATAAAAGACTACTCTCTCCTTCCATGTCCACAGTGAATAGTAAAGTGTTTTAAGAAATGGTTAAATTTTTCGAGTATAGTAAAACCAGTGGATTTAGGTCAATGTTTTATACAGTGTTAATACTAGTGAATTTTCACCAAGAATGGTAGGAACTGGATTAATGATTCAATAGAATGAATCACTTTTGATAGAAAACTAGCAGATAATGTAGCCAGTAATAACTATACATGAATCTGCTGTCTGCGGAAAAGCAATAAAAAGGCAATATATCGCTACAGCATATAATCTATTAGCATGTTTCACTGCAGTACTGTCACTGGCCTCTTCATAAAGCACACCTTAATATAATAACTTTTGTGTTACTTAACCAACTTTACACAGTAATTTAATTGTGAGATTAGTAGATAGCATAAAATGCTTCCAGTACTTTAACATATATTTATTACTAAGGCTTGGAACAAAGTGATAATGCATGTCCCTATTCAGATTTCAAACTTGCTGATATCTCCAAATAACCAAAAAGGGCTTTTTGAATATAATATGAAGTTCGTGTGAGAGAGGGTTGCTTTATTTTCACTGCATGTCTGTGAAAAGGAAGTCATTAAACAAATTAAAATAGATTCATATATCGATAAATATAGGGCAATGAGGACAATAAGATGTTGGGTATTACAGTAGGGCTTCCATATCCATGGATTCAATGATCCACAGCTTGTTTGTTTTTTTCTAATCCCAAAAGCAAACCTTGAACTTGCCATTTTATATTTTAAAAGGTAAAGGGTTCCCCTTGACAGTAAGTCTAGTCTTATCTGATGTTAAGGGGTGCTGCTCATCTCAATTTCTAAGCAGAACAGCCTGTGTTGTCCGTAGACGATGGATTCGGCAGTGACCAGGGGAGCATTCGCACAGTTAAAGCATGTGCACCAGCTGAGCCCGTACCTTGGGAAGTCTAGCTTGGACACGGTAGTCCACTCTCTGGTTACATCCCATATAGACTACTGCAACGCACTCTATGTGGGGTTTATTTTATTATTATTTATTTCGAGGTTTTATATACCGACCCTCTCACCTTCAAAGAGGGATTCGGACCGGTTCACAACATGTGTTAACATACAAAGAATATACAATAACAACACAATGCCACTTCATAACACGATTAAAATATCAGCACTATACACATTAAAACATTATCATCACAGTTAAAAGAGCCAAATCGTCCGACACCATCACAATCCCATTCATCATCCTCCTTTCATGTGGGCAAAGAGTTAAATCAGTTGTCAAATGCCGCGTTCCACAACCAGGTCTTTGTTAGTTTCCTGAACGTCATGAGGGAGGGGGCAGTTCTGATCTCTAATGGCAGGGAGTTCCAAAGTCGAGGGGCCACCATCGAGAAGGCCCTGTCCCTCGTCCCCACCAGCCGTGCTTGTGCAGGCGGTGGGACCGAGAGCAGGGCCCCTCCAGACGATCTTAGTGGTCTTGATGGTTCGTAGGAGAATACGTTCGGAGAGGTTGCCTTTGAAGACGATCTGGAAGTTTCAACTAGTCCAACAAATGGCAGCCAGATTGCTAACAGGAGCGGCGCTCAGGGAGCATACAATCCCCTTGTTTTGCCAGCTCCACTGGCTGCCGGTTTGCTACCAGACTCAATTCAAAGTGCTGGCTTTGGTCTATAAAGCCTTGAACGGTTCTGGCCCAACTTACTTGTCCGAAGGTATCTCTCCTTACAAACCATCAAGGACTCTTGATTGTCTGGGGAGGCCCTTCTCTCGGTCCCACCTTCATCACAAGTACGTCTGGCAGGGACAAGAGACAGGGCCTTCTCAGTGGTGACCCCTGGGCTATGGAACACCCTCCCTAGGGAGATCAGATCTGCTCCCTCCCTCTTAATGCTTCAGAGGCAAGTTAAAACATGGTTGTTTGTGCAAGCATTTACAAATGCAGAGTAGCTAATATAGGAAATCGAATGACTTGACAATGGAACTGGACAATGCTTGATAATAAGGATGATATTGTTTTATTGTTTTTATTGCTCTTGTTGTGTTTTATATTGTTTAATGTTTTAATCTGTGTTATGTTTTTATGTGTACTGATTTGTTGGAAACCGCCTTGAGTCGCCGATTGGCTGAGAAAGGCAGTATACAAATACAGTAAATAAATAAATAGACACCTCCAAAGTCATGTGGCCAGCATGATTGCATGGAGTGGCGTTATCTTCCTGCCAAAGCGGTACCTATTGATTTACTCATATCTACATATTTTTGAACTGCTAGGTTGGCAGAAGCTGGAGCTTACAGTGGGACTCACTCCGCTCCCCAGATTCGAACTGCCAACCTTTTGGTGAGCAAGTTCAGCAGCTCAGCGGTTTAACCCATTGCACCCCATTTTATATAAGGAACACCATTTAATTTCACTTGAGCACTCACGAATTTTGGTATCCACCAGGGGTATCCTAGAGCCAAACCCCTGCAGATACCAAGGGTCCATAATATATGTAAGGTTATTACTAATTGTAGACA